TAGTATTGGAAATTATTTAGGCCTCTAAACAGTTAACCTCATCCTACCTCTTTGTACGACGTCCCTTCCGTCTTCCAATTAGCTCCGAACCCGACGAAGCTTCGAAAGAGTCAGTGAGAGCCGTTCATTCCTCCTTCATAGCTTGGGGTAGGGTTTAGGGTTTAGGATTTAGGGTTTAGGGTTGACGGTACTTCTAAACCTACCATGCATCGTCAGGGCAGCGAGGTGACTCCGAGCGCAACGCTGGGGGTGGAAGGCTGGCAACATGCCGGGGATGCGAGTTTAAAGCCGGGATTGGGGTATCGCTCAGGTGTGACCCGCATTTGTTGCTGGCCCTCCCACGTTGGTCCCTCTTTTCTTGCTGCTCTTAGAGAGCTCTTGCTGCTGAGACGTCAGGGCCTTGGGCGCTGGTGGTTTGGAATGTAGGTACTCAAGCGAGGGATTATTTCACCCGCGCATCCGGTTGCAATCCCCACCCAGCACATTTGGTCCAAGTTCTGATGCCCTCTGAGAATACGCCTTGTGCTCGCAGGTTCCGGCTTCAGGTTGTATGCGTTTGATACTCTGAGTGTCCATGTACCCATATAGTATATACTTTGGCTCCAACGTGCCTCTGTATGGACTACTTCAAGGCCAAAGTATGTACTCTTTGAGACCATGGACCCTTAGCGAGACTCAGACTTCGGTGAGCTTCCAAAACAATTGGCTAAGTCAAACGTTGATCGAGCCCTTCCTGCCAATTTTGTGCAGTTTTCCCTCGCACCCTGACCCCTTAACCCCTAAACTTAACCCTAAACCCTCACCCCTGAATCTCATAATCCCTAAACCCGTAAACCTTATAAACTCTAAACCCCTAAACCCTGAACCCTCCAGGCCTCAAAAAGGCCCCCCCTCCACCCCCGGAACCTTGACATAGTACGGCACCCTTATAAACAGCACCCTAGAAGGGACCCTGTTTTAGACGACTGCTTGAACTGCCTAAATAGCGCTCTTATAGTACCCTTATAGAAACAATATTAGAAACTTTTACAGGTCCCCTGAAGGAACGCTACAATAAGGGACCCTGCTTTAGAGAACTGCCCTTTTAAGGGGCCCTCAAAGCCTTAAACCCTAAGCCCAAAACCCGAAAGCCTAAAAACCTAAATCCTGCGACGGGCTCCAGGCTCCGTCTTGGCGGTGCGAGAGTGCATTCACCAGGTCCTCTCGAGTTGGCCGGCGCCCCAAGGTTTAGGGCTTAGGGTTTAGGGGTTTAGGGTTTAGGGTTTAGGGATTTAGGGTTTATAGGGGTTTAGGGTTTAGGGGTTTAGGGGTTTAGGGGTTTAGGGTTTAGGGTTTAGGGTTTAGGGTTTAGGCTTATAGGGTTCAAACAACCTACCTTTCTACGGTTCCTGACAACTGAACAAGGTAGCTTCTCTGGCGTTAACCTATGTTTTTAGGGTAGTGTCAAGAGATGAGGGGTTGGGGGTCGGAATAGGGTTCTGGGGTACCTTCTAGTAGAAATATGATAAGGAACCCTTGGGAACAATGTTGGCAATCATTCAGGCTTCTATATTGTAGAGATGTACCCTACTCCCTTAACGCAGTCAACCCCCTGAACCGCTCATGTAAATCGTGACCCCAGTTTAGGGTTTGAGGTAGGTTTCGGGTTTAGGGTTCTGTTTCGGGTTTGGTGCCTAGGGTTTCAGGTTTTGGGATTTGGGTTTCGGGTTTGGGGTTTAGGGTTGTGGTTGTTTGGGATGTATGCTTCGGGTTGAGAGGGTTCAGCCGCGCAGAAGCGATGTTCATTTCCATACCATCTTCTTTAGTCGACAACCATAACCCCTCAACCCTAAAGCCCAAACCCTAAACGCTAAGCCCAAAGCCTTGTCAAGCGTTTCACCGCTCCCATGGCCTTACAGTGCGCAACGAAGACTGGTGGCTCCAGAGAAGTAGGCTTGGGACGCATTTGAGTTCAAGAGCAGCTGTTGTCCAACCTCATTCCAACCTCTGCCCAAGGTGGATCACCGGCAAGTCCCGGCGCGAGCTGGAGGACGGCTGATGGCTACAGAGGGCTTGCTGGGAGCTGGTTCAGTGTGGGGCTTTGGGTCCCTTAGCCCAAAGCCCCTAAACCATAAACCCTTAACCCCTAAACCTTAAACCCCTAAGCCCCAAAGCCAGGGTTCAGGGTTCAGAGTTCAGGGCTTACACGTAGGGTTCAGGGTCTGTGCGTGTACGGTGTAGGAGGCTTCGTTCCTGCAGTCGAGCTCCCGTATCTGGTTCCAGTTTCAGACAAGGTTACGGTTTAGGGTTTAGGGTTTAGGGTTTAGGGGTTTAGGGTTTAGGGTTTAGGGTTTAGGGCCCACAAAAACTACCGCCACGGCATTATAGGTCCTCGACTCGAAGCCCATAGTAACTAGTCATTCTGGCCTGGTTTGCATCCTGGTCCTCAGCTGCTAGGTACCGGGCTCTCCTGGTGCATCGAGAACCGTAAGCCGATAGACCGTGAACCCTGAACCCCAACTCGCTTTTTTCCTATAACCCGACACCCTCAGTCCCTTGATCCCAACAGAGGGCCTATTTTGGTAGGTTTTTTTTGGTGGTTTAGGGTTTAGGGAAACTGCCGAAGCCTTGAGAGCTGTCCCAATTCTAGGAGTCGGAACAATGAAATAGTATTCCTGACCTTCTTTGTCGGGTCTGTGTGTATTTCCCTCATGGATCCTTCCTGGGACCGGTAGAGACCCACTTCAACGGTCAGGTAACAGTTGGGTTTAGGGTTTAGGGTTTCGCAATTAAGATGTAGAAGGCTCTTGATGGCACCCTTATCACAGGCTGCTACTGTAAAGTAAGGGGCAGTACCCAACCAAGATATATGCGGTAGGCAGCCTTGGATCATCTCCGCTACATCGAGACCGAGCTACCAATGCAGAAAGATGAGCAGCTAGTCCAACATGGTTTAGGGTTTAGGGGCTTCCCCAGGGCAGAATATTCGCGCGAAAGCCCTGTACACATTGGTCTTTGGGTCCAGAAGCTTGAAACATGTGAGTCCTCGGTAGACCACCTGAATTCAGAGTTTCATGCGCAGTTGAGTAATATACGAGCCTAAATAATTACCATGTTGGGGGCTCCTCATTATAGTTATAGTAGAACCTAATGTACCCCCAAAACCCTATACTAATTGTTGAGGCTCCTATACTATAGAACCCTTCTTCGACCTTATGGTGATTTAGGGTTTAGGGTTTAGGGCTTAGGGTTTAGGGTTTAGGGTTTAGGGTTTAGGGTTTAGGGTTTAGGGTGACCCTTTTAAGGAAGCCCCCGTAAGGCTCTTGAGGTTTCAGTCTGCGGTCGCCATGGAGTGGTTTGGGCTCGTTTTCTTACTTAGCCGGTTCGAGTCCTGCAGATTTCTAAGGGCTTTAGGAGGCGTTTAGGGTTTAGGGTTTAGGGTTTAGGGTTTAGGGTTTAGGGCTTAGGGTCCCTTGTAGGTTATTGGGGTTAATATGGAGACTACCTGGCTATATAAGGGGTATATAAGGACTATACAATGGTTATTTAAGGTTAAGGGTCCCTATTAGGGGTCCCTCCTAAAGCCCTTAGGAGATTCGGGTGTGCAAAATATAGAAGCCTATGTACTTATCAATATTATTCCTTAAAGTTCCTTATTATGAGTCTACTATAAAGGAGCCCGGAACCCTATTCTCATTATGAAGGGCTCTATAGTAGAGTTTGGCGGTTACTTGGGTTTCATCCCCTGCAGCCTCTGCTTTTGGGCTTATCCTTGAAGGCCCCGAGCCTCCAGGAGCATCGAATTCCCCTAAACTAAACCCTAAAACCCTAAACCCTAAAGCAAACTCTAAAGCCGTGAATCCGACTCCGAAGCCGAACATATGGCGATTGCAAGGTGGATGTCTTTTTGGGGTTCAGGGGTTTAGGGTTTAGGGGTTCAGGGGTTTAGGGGTTGAGGGTTTCGGAGTTTAGGGGTTTAGGGTTTAGGTTCTGGGGTTTAGGGTTTAGGGGTTTGGGGTTCATGGGTTTAGGGTTCGGAGAGTTGTTTTGGGGTCTGGGCTTTACGGATTGGATATTTCCTGCTGGCCAAGGCAGCACAACAGTATCAGCAACGAGGAGAAGAAGAAGAATAAAAGCTCCCTGGAGGACTCACAGGGCCGAGCCGCAAGCCAGGACATTCTCCAACACACATAGGAAAGCAGGATGCAGAGCAGCCGGAGTAGTGGTAGCAGCAGTCGTAGTAGTAGTAGTAGTCGTAGTAGTAGTAGTAGTAGTAGTTGTTGTTGTTGTTGTTGTTGTTGTTGTTGTTGTTGTAGTTGTTGTAGTTGTTGTAGTTGTTGTAGTTGTAGTTGTAGTTG